CCGCCCCATGCACAATGCTGAGGTAGCCCCTGAGGATGCTGAGTAAGCCGGGGGAGAAACCAGGAGAGATGGGCGTGTGAGTGGATCAGCCCCACACGGTGCAAAGGGCAAGGATGGAATCTGGCCAGGAGCTGGGGGAGCTTCCAGAAGGGAGTGACACCCACCACCCACCTTGAATCCCAAGGGAGGGAGGGAGTCAGCCAGGACGAAAAGGACAGGCTTTCAGGCGGATACCAGAAGGATTCCCTTTCCTACAGGTCCCTGGTTTGGGTTTGAAAACATAGTTCACTTAGTTATAGTCCTCTTTACTCTGGAGCTTGAGCAGATTTTTTCCAGCCTGCCTCAGCTGGTGGTGTATCAGGAGTTCCACGTCCTCACAGGGTCCTTCCCTTTTTAGTGAGCATACATGTTGGGGGAAGCCACCCTGGGCAAGGGCGTGAATCCAGACACGGATATTCGGGGGTGGGGAGGGGGGCTGTTGGCCTCTTGATCTCCTAGATCTCTAGGTTTCTGTCTCTTTTTTGTGCCTTTTTACTTCTGGGAACAAATAACCCCCACTTGTTTTAGCTAATTTGTAGGCTATTGAAGCCAGTTCCTGGAAGAGTTGGGTTCATAGTAAAAATAAATAAATAAAAATTTTAAATTTGATTGGAAAGCAGTAGACCACAGCTAAGTTCTGAGTTCAAAAAGCCATAGCACTGAGTGTCCCTGACAGCACTCAGGCAGGACGCAGTGCATGCAAGAGACGAATTTTTATTTTTCCTAGGCCAACAGAATTAAACCTTCCCAATCTGTCAGGTAAATGGAGAGAGACCGAATCCCTTTTTCCTAAGCAGTTATCTAACTACAATGTTGAGACGTAAACAAGATCATTTGACTTTTTTTTCCCCATTGCCGGGGCCGAAGCCCCCCTCCAAACTACTTGGCCTCAACACAACAGGACAGAAAAAAAAAAGCTGCATTGATTGGATTTGAATAATGGAATTGCCATTAATATCTTCCATAGAAGATGATTGACTCTGACTTGGATTTATGGGAAGCTGGGGCTTGTAAAAGTAAACAGAGTGGGAGTCGTTCAATATTAATGCACCCACCCCTCCTCAGGGCTGGTTAAATGCATGGGCTCCTGGCCAGAGCCCCCCAGGCCAGTGGCCGGGTCATGGGGGCCTCTGGAGGATGCGGAGGGCAGCCTGCGCCCAGTCCGGTTCTCAGCTGTGCCAGTCTAGGGAGCCAGGCGGCACCCTACCCTTCTTTCCTTCACAGTAGGTTCTAATGTGAAAATCCCTTTTTTGTCAAGAGGCTGTGGGTGAGACCAGCAGCACTCACCTCTGCTGTGTAGAAGCCCACTGCTCCTAACAGGACCAAGGACCCCGATGACCCAGAAAGTCGCTCCCTCTCCCTGCACCCACTAAGAGCCCCCACCCTCTGTGGGCGAGCTCCCAGCCCCTCTGCAGGTGGCATGGCTTGTGAGCCACGGCAGCCTCTGGCTCTGCTGCTCTTGAGCCCAGAGCCCCGATGGACAGACCTTCAGCAGAGGGCGTGTGGGCTCAGGCTTTCAGAAGGAGTTTCTCCAGGGACTCTACTCCTGCCCAGGAAGATGTGGTGAGGCCCAGGTCCTCCAGGGCCGTAAGTGGCTGAGGGCTCTTCCCAGAAGAGCTGATGTTTGAGGGGTTGGGGGATGTCAGTCACATCAGGGTGCTGGTAGCTCCCACTCATGCCAGCATTCCACCCGGCCGGGCCATCAGCTCCACTCCTGGTCCTCTCGCTCAGGTAGCTGCCTCTGTGATCCCCACCAAGCGGTTTGAAAGCCTTATCACCGTCTTCCAGCCCTCTCAGTGCTACTGATCTCCTGTCCCTCCGCTATAAACCAGCAACCCCCAGACCTGTCCCCAGGGTCTGTACATGTCCCCCTGCCCTCCGCAGGATGGCCCTCGGGAGCCACAGGACCTCACAGGCTTCATCTTCTTTCCTCCAGCCCACTGCTCTTCCCGTGCTCCCCACCTCTGGGAATGGCCACACCGCCCACCCAGGCCCCAAGTCGGAAGTGTGGGCGTGCCCCGAGGCCTCTCCTCTGTCACCCGGCACCCCCACATCCCAGGCTCTCAGCTCTGTCTCCTACCCTCTCCCCACCCATCCTTCCTCTCTGTCCCCACTGCTCTTGACTTGGCTCTGCAGCTCCTCACCACTTCTAACCTGCACGACCACCGTGGTCTCCTGCCACAGTCTTCTCCCTCCCTCCCTCCTTGTCCCCTTCTAGTTCCTGCACAGTGGCCTCCAGAGTGACCTCTCCAGGGCGCCAACCACACTGCCAGTCTCCCCAGCCCCTGTAGGATGAGATCCAGACATCTGCCCACGTTCCCTGTGCTGGCAGCATCTGTGATTACACTCTGGTACTCTGTCCCATGCTGGCTTTTCCATGCTGCTTCCTCCACTTGGAATGCCATTCCCATCACCCTCTCTGGACTTGCCCACCTGGGTTTCCTCCCAAGGCAGGATCAGCCATTCTCTTTCTTTATTTTCACATAACATGCTGTTCATACCTTGAGTGCAGGGAAGGAAATGAACCTTTGAAGGCCTTCTGTATCAGACATGTTTGGGGCTGCCTGCTTTGCCCAGGCTGTCTTCTGGAAGCATCTGTGCTCACCCACAAACTCTGCTGCTGATAATGACCCCACCCCTCCAGCCTCGGTTTAACTGGACCAGGGGCAGATTCCTGACTTCAAGGGTGCCCTTCCACTGGCTGGCCAGCAATGTGGGACTGATTGCTCCTGACTTTAAAAAGTTAACTAGACCAATAGGATGTTTGTCCAGAGAACCAAAGAGAGTTCCATTTGGGGCTGGGCACCTTAGCCGAATGGTAATACAGATGTGAGACAGGAGTTCTGTACATGACGAGGTCCAGTCTCAAAGGCATTGACTTCGTGGGGGAAGGAAAGGGGAGATGATGGCCCAGGAGAAGCAGGACCTTGAGCAAGAGACAGAGCTCACTGTGGCTGGTCCCTGAAGCTCTTCCTGTTTCTGCTGGATCCCCCTGAAACCCCACCATAGTCTCCCAAGAGTCCTCCCATTCACATGAGCTGGTGTGGGTGGGTGGGTTCTCTGGGGTCCTAGAATGGCTTCTTTTGAGTACATTGCAGTAATCCTGCCACGTAGGAATTATTGCCATTTTCGCAGATGAGTCCATTGAGGCTCAAACATATTAGGTAACGTGCTCAAGGTCACAGAGTGAGGAAGCAACAGAGCTGAGATGTGAGCCAGTCTTTCTCACGTACAGCAGTGCCCCTTCCTCCGCACGGGCCACCTCCTTGCAGTGTGTTCACGGTCCCCTTGTCTCCCACTCAGGGCTCTCAGCTGCTCAGAGACAAGAGCAGTGTCTCATGCGCCATGCTGCCGCAGTGCCCACCACAGGCTCGAGGACCATCCAGGCGTCAAGTGTCTGACGGATATAGTTTAATTTCCATGCAGCCCAGTAGAAAAAGCACTGGACTCTGAGCCCAAAAGCCAGAATTCAGGCTGTGCCTCTCTCCATGGTGGCTGTGCCATCTTGGGCAGGGCACGTTCATCCCTTGGTTGCCCTGCGACAATGGACATACTGGAAGGTGTCCCAGCAGACCTCGTGTTATTGTATTGTGCTCTGCTGCGCTTCACAGATACAGCATTTTTTACAAATCGAAGGTTTTTGGCAATCCTGTGTCGAACAAGTCTATCAGCACCATTTTTCCAACCCCATTTGCTCACTTCATGTCTCTGTGTCACATATGGGTCATTCTCTCCAAGTTTCAACCTTTATCATTATCATTCTATCTGTCATGGTGATCTGTCATCAGTGATCTTTGACGTGCCTGTTGCAAAAAGATTACGACTCACTGGAGGCTCAGATGATGGTTAGCATTTTTTAACCATAAAGGATTCTGCAACTCAGGTCTGCACCTTGCTGTTTTAGACGTAATGCTATTGCACATTTAACAGACTACAGTATAGCATAAACATAATTTTATACTCACTGGGAAACCAAAAAAACCTGTGTGACTCACTTTATTGAGATATTTACTTTATGGTGGTGGTCTGGAACCAAACCCAAAATATCTCCAAGGTATTCCTGCAATGGGCAGTGGGAAGAGATGACTTCTGAGGTCCTGTCCTGCTCTAAACTCCCTCTGTGTCATCACATCTGCCCTGCCTACCTCGCAGGAATGACGTAAGGTGGAACAGTGCACACTCCTGGCCAGCTGAGTGTTTGCTCCAACCTGTTCTTGCAAATAGTGCTGCCCTTTCCATTCAGTTCCCTGGAGGCCCCCTCGCCTTTTCTTTCATTGCTTGCTGTTTGAGAGGGATTTGTGCGAGCCACGATTTTCATGCACCCCCAATAGCAGCTTTATCTAATGAGGATGAGATGCTTACACATATTTTCATTCTTTAAAAAAAACATCGGCTATTAATTTGTCAGAATTATTCATATTTTACTGATGATATTTTCCATGTATCTAATCAGGGAGCTCATGAATAGAAATGAAACTATTTAAATACAGAGATGGTGTACATTGTGAGATCTTGTTTTCTCAAGCTGTTTCATAATGCAGTGAATACATTTATTTCTTCTAAAAACAGGTTTTGCAGCCATCAAAAAAAAAGTTTTTTTAAATCTTTGACTAAATATGACTCTATTCATATTTGTATGAATAGATATGCTAAATCGGTGTGCTTGGCATCTGCGCGTGTGTGTTTGCACGCGCGTGTGTGTCCGAGACGTGTGCTCATTAGAAGCGTGTTTCCTGGTTTTCTCCGTAGGGACAGGAGACTGTTTTCAGTGAGAAAAATGGAAAAACACATTTGGACCAAATCTTTAGGATGGATGGATGGCAAAGTGAAAGTACAAATTGAAATGGGGCTGAATAATATTCGAGATAAGTATTTGTACAATGTAGACTTTTAAACTGCTCAAAATTCCAGCCGCACTTACCTACGCTGAAAGAGGCTTAGAATCATTAAACAAAGCCAGATATTAAATATACTACTGCTATCTCTCGAAACATTAGCAAGTAATGTAAAACACATGGCATCTACTCAATGGAAAATCTGAGAATACAAATTATAATAGTTGTCTTATAAGACCTCTGGGAAGCTTGAACTAAATTGCTTAATTCCATTAATAACAAACTATTACTCTAGCTATTAAAGTAACATGAGGTAATAGAGATCATGTCGGGAGATTGCACCGAGGTTCTTTCTTCACCTAGCACAAATGTATTCAGGGGCATTGATAGATTTTAATTGACTATGGCAACTGAATAACAACAAAGGAAATTGAATGTCTTTTGAAAAGCTCCACATTTTGTAGAAGAAAATAGCAACACCAAAGTGAGGGTTTGGGGTTGCCGGGAGAGGCGGGAAGGACGTTGGGGAGCATCCATACCGGCAGCTCCTCCAGAGCTGCTTTCCTGCGATCATAGCAAGAAGTTTCTCGGGACCAGGCACACCACCGACCCAAGCGTCTTCCGCAGCTCCGTGCCGTCCACATTGAAGCAAAACCAACCCACGCTGCTGTAAAGACATGTGCTTTGTCATGGGGCACACTTCCAAGATTTAGGACTGGAGGGACTGAAGGCTGGAAATGTTGTGAGTGACCCCTCACCATGACTCTGAAGCTGAGGACCTCTAAAGCCTCCCTCAGCTTCCATCGAGTCCAGGATGGATTCTGGTGACCCATCACCTACTTTTCTCTTCTGCTTTTTGGTCCTCTGTCCTCTGCTCATGGTCCTTCTGTCTTCTGTCCACACCCCATTGCCACCAGGGTGTCTGTCCTGCAGTTCATACGGCCTTGCTTTGTATGAAGTTACTTTGTGTACTAGTCATCTCAGGCTGTCATCACAAAATACCACAGACTGAGTGACTTCAACAACAGAAGCTGTTTCTCACAGTTCCAGAGGCTGGATGTCCAAGATCAGAGTGTCAGCAGGGTCAGGTTCTGGTGAGGTTCTCTTCCTGGCTTACAGACAGCCACCTCCTTGCTGTGTCCTCACTTGGCAGAGAGAGAAAGAGAGAAGAGGGAAGAGAGAGGGAGAGAATTCAAGCTTTCTCTGGTGTCTCCTTGTATAAGGACACTAAACCTATTGGATCAGGGCCCCACACTTATGACCTCATTTAACCTTAATTCCATCAAGCCCCTGTTTCCACATACAGTCACAGTGGGAGTTAGGACTTCAACATGTGAATTTGGGAGGGACACAATTCAGTCCGCAGCAGTTTTGAAGTCCTCATTTCATCTTGTTGGGCTGGCCTCTCCTTCTCTGCTTACCCCTAGCCCCAAGTGTCTGGGGTTTTAGTTGCTGCCTCAATTCTCTTTGAAGGAAAACTCACTGTACCAAGATGTGAGGAGTTGCTGGATGCATCCCTGTAGTGGCATTCTAGGAGGCGGCAGGGAGGTCACAGGGTGCCCCCCCAGTCACCCCCCCACCACGCTTCTTTTTAATTGAAGTATAGTTGATATAAAGTAATATTACATAAGTTACAGGTATACAATGTAGTGAGACAATTTTAAAGGTTATACTCCATTTATAGTTATTATAAAATATTAGCTATATCCCCCGTATATACAGTATATCCTTGTAGCTTATTGTATACCTAACAGTTTGTTTAACCCCTTACCTCTATATTGCCCCTCCCCACACCCCTTTACCATGCTCATCAGTGAGCTGTGTCCAGATCATTGCACCACTTGGCCTGGGGTACACAATAATATTGCTCCACAGGTGTTTGAAGCTGTGTCTTCTGATGTCTGGGCTTCCTCCCGGTTTCCATGTGTTTCCTGAGCATCATCCCACTTCAGCCTGTGGGATGCTCATAATCTTCTTAGTGGCAGTGAGTATAATGGTCAACTCTGCTGCACCCACTGGGACCAGGGACATTCTCTCTCCTGCTGCCCATTGGTCCCTGCTTCTCTCCCGGACATCACAGAGGAGCTCTGGAGGGCTGTCCTGCACCATGGTATCCCCTCTGTGCTCACACCCCTTGCAAGGCGACTGGCCCTCCTCAAGTGCTGTCAGAGCTAGGCTCTGGGTGTGGCGCCCAGGAACGGGCTCTGATCCTGGCTGTGGGCGCCTGCCTCTTTGGCGCTGGGAGAATCTAATCCTGCCGCAACTGCAGCACATGCATGTGTTTGAAAACCTCCTTGGCAGGCAGGACCTCCTAATTTTTTCCACTTCTTGTGATTAGCGTTGCAGACTAATCCTAGCACCAGACTCAACACCAGCTGTTCTTCCCCCACTGCTTGTTTTTACTAATAAACCAAATCCTGGAGCCGCTGCCACATCGGCTGGCCCCGCTTCTCCCTCAGCCCGAGCTGCGGCCAGCCACCTGTGGCATGACCTCAGGTGAGTTACCTTCCCACCTGGCCACCTGTGTCCTTCGCACAGCCTGGGCAGCACTGCCAGGTCTCAGAGGGCAAGTGAGGGCCACGCTCGGTTGTAGAGAGACCTGAGACTTTCCTGCTAAGACAGTTTGATAGCAGAAGTTCCCAGAGCCAGGCTGATCTATCTTAGAGATTTCAGTTTGCATCCAGAGACATTAGACATCCCTGGATACCACTCACAATTTTTGATATGAGAATACATATTCAAAATAATACATACAACATTTAGATAAGTTTTATAACCTGACAGTAAAATGAACACACATGCTCCCACCTCTGAATTTAAGGACAAGGATAGTGCCAGACTGTTTTCTTGTTCAGTTCTTCCCATACTCCTTAAATTTGGAAAGGGATCTGGAAGGAGAGCACTGGCCAAGGCTCCTCTCCCCTCCCCGCCACCATCTTGTCATCCAGAGGACGAGGATTCCCCCAGGGGACCCCCAGTTTGCGACAGCAGTACCTCCACCCTTCAGCGGGGACCTGGCCGGGAAGCAAGGACTCGGTGGCGTTCAGGCCAGCAGGAGTGGCCAGAGCTGTCCCATGGAGTCCAGGGAGGGAGATGAGGCAGGCGCTCGCTCTGCTTTGCCGATTTCTCTGGCATCTCCCCTTCTTCCAATGACTTCCGTCCATGGCGGGGCCACTGCAAGGGGCAAGTTATTTACAGCATGTGGACCTGGGAGCTCAGACTGCAGCACCCACAGCACCCACACGTCGATTTACATCTCTATGAGAGTTTCTCCCCTACCTGGAGGGCCCTGAAAACAAATCAGAGAGCGTGGCTTATGGGACATCTGCCCTCCGCACACTCCAGCGTCAGGAAGAACTGTGATTCTCAGATACTCCTGTCGAAAGCCCATGAAATCAGCTCTGTAAACTAGGAAACATAAGTCACAGTTCTGTTTGCTCTGCCACTGTCTAAGAATCACGAGGTTCTCATAGGGCCGGAAACAAAGCGAAACAAAACCATGAGCCCTTTTAGGATGACTTAATGTCCAGTCATAGCCACCTCTACGCAGCCGTGCTGTTTATCTTGGTATGAAGTTTCTGACTCCCTCCGGTCCTCACATGTTTGGGGCGGGTTGGGTGTTTTTCTTGACAACTGAAATTTACTTGAAAACAGGATTAAAGTAAATCACTCTCTTTTCCTCCCTGACAGTCTCTCCATGGTTTTGCCTCTCTGGCAAATGCTGTCCCTTTTTGTCTCTCTCCTTCCTCTTTTCTCTCCCTGACTCCTTCCGACGGTTTCCTGGGGGAGAGCCATGCTCAGCACCTCAGGCAGTGTATGTACACATGCTCCCCATCTCCTACCCGCCCCCCCTCAAAACATTTTAGTTACAAGGCCTGTGTGAGGGACAGTGCTGCAATGACTCAGCCAGGATGGGCAGACACATAGACCAGAACTCACGTCTGCCTGGAGACATGGGGCCAGGCTGGAAGGTCTACAGGGATCTCAGAGGAGAGCAGACAGCTGGAGGGGTCAAGGAAGGTTTGGTAGCCCTGAGCATCTTCCACTGGAGCCTAAAACAACACAGCCTTGAGGTCTGTGGAGAAGAGGGAATGCCAGCTGGGTAGAGAGAGGAGGCTGGTGCATATGTGCCTGCAACCCGAGCTGGAGTGAGGGCCAGGGGCCGTTTCCTCAGCCCTGGAGTCCAGGGACCCCGGCCACGTGGATGCCTTTGTAAACAAGAAGGCTGTATACATGAGCACTGAGCAGAGGCTGTCCAGGGGGACAAAGGTGGGTCTAAGGACTGTGGGAATGGCTGACTTAGGATTTCAGGCCAGAGTCCTGGGGTTATACACACTGGCCATGAGAGCAAGATCCGATGAGCTCTCAAATGCCTGTGCTGTGCATGATAGTTTTTCGTTTGTTTGTTTTAATGTGAAAGTCATCACCTGGAAAGCGGGCAAGGACTCCTCTGACAATCAGGGAGTCTGGGATTTGGGCAGCATAGGTCTGCTTTCTCTCATATCCCTATGTAGAGTCCATTCTTCCATCTTGACCTTGGCCTCAATGCCAGGTGGGCCGGGGCAGCAGTGCCAGTGAGGTGCCTGGACATCCAGGTGGATGTGACAGATCAGAGCTGATGCCCAGCCAGGCGGGAGACTGCCCGTGGGCCTCCATGTGCTCTGCACAGCACGGAGCTCTAGGCCTCTGGGTGGAGAGAAGCCCCTCTGGGTGGGGTCAGGAAGGGCTGGGGGGAAGGAGAGCGAGCAGACTAGAAGAACTTGATCCTGCTGCAGCCATCACCCAACCACGTTCACTGCTTTCTGGGCACCTCCGTTAGGAAATCCAGAAAGGTCAGGGACTCCCTGGTACAGTACTGCCCACCTCTCAAAACTTTCTGCAGCCTGGGAGACATTCTGTCCTATGCTGTCTAGCGCTGTTGAATATGGTCCATGTGACTGGGTGACTGCATTTTTTTAATCTATTCAAGTAAAATTAGTTTTAATTGACATAACCACCTTGGCTAGTAGACACAGTATTGGCAACACGACCCTGGAAGACAGCCTGGGTGAGGCTGCCCCGTGCATCCCAAGACTCCAGAAGATCTTTGATTTTGTCCCTTGCTGTGCCTCAAAGTGTCAGAGCAAACGAAGCTCTCAGAGAGAAATCACCCTGAAAATCCGTCTGGGCTGAACGCTTTCAGAGGTCCCTGCGACCGAGGCTTCCTCTCGTAGTTAAATTTTGTTAGGCACAGGAGAAGATCCTCCAGGTTTTCCTAAAGCCCTTTCTTCTTTCTGCATAAAGTTTCCTCTGTCTAAGGAAATGGTTTTGCAGGCTTTATTATTTTGGGATTTTTAGCATATTCACTGAAGTGGTACCTGGGTTCCCACTTACCATCGATTTCTGGCTGCTGGGCCTTGCCTCTCACTCAGAATGGTGGGATCCAGTTAGAGTTGCCCCCATCTCTTCCTTCTTTAGGGGGGCGATTGGAGAGAAAATCAAGGGGCTGGCTGCCACCACTTACAGAAAATGGGCAGATGGGAGCAATTTGATAAACATTCCACAGAAAATGCCTGCCTTCTTTGGGTGTCAGTCAGAAATGTCTAGATAGATATTTATCTTCTTGTTCCAGAACTGTCAGCCCAAGCAGCGGCTGGATTTTCAGTAGTTTGGTGAAGCGCCCTGGCTCTGGGGTGACTGATGGAGGCATCCAGAATCTCTGCCTGATTTCAGCAATCTCACTTCCCAGAGCTGGACAAGGATACTAAGGAGCAAAGGGGACAGCTGGAGCAAGTCAGAGCCGGGGGCACGGTGACAGCCCCTGGTCCATCCCTACTCTGCCTGGAGGAAGTAAATCTGGGGGAAGAGGGGTCGAATGGACTAGGACTTGGAGATGTAGGGTCTCCCAGACCCCCTGGTGTGGCCTCAGGGAATAACGGAGGGGCGAGGGGAATAGTTCAGGCATCACATTGTGTTTGTGACACATCTTTTCTCCTTGACTGCTTAGGATTCTAAAATCTTACTCTTTGAGTCTCATTTGCTAGAAACAGAGCTGACCACTGGCTGAGAAGGGCGGGAACAGATGACTGCTTTTCCTAGGGTGGAAGGCTTTGCAGTTAATTTACATGTGTTTGCGTTGGGTTTAGCATTATAAGAGTAATTCATTTATATGGAACTCTCCTTTAACCCACAAAAATGTATTGATGCCAACTGTCCCCCAGCAAGGAAACAGTGAATGAGATCATCTCTGCCCTAAGAGAGAGAGTCTTTCCAGCATGGTCTGGGAGGGAGGAGAAAGATTTTCAGACAGTGGCGGGAAGGACGCAGGGTGGTGTAGCCATGCCAGACACTGGTGTGCAGAAGACGGTGAGTCCAGGAGGGCTTCATGGCAGAGGGGAAACTTGACCTGAGCCTTGAAATGAGTAGCAGAAAAGACTTAAGATGTCTGGAAAGAGTGCAGGGGGCTCTTCAATGTTTGGAACAAAGATGTGGTGGTGGGAAAAGAAACAGGTAAGTGATGGGAAGCCACAGAGAAAGTTTTATTACTATAATTTCCAATTCTTTGGGTATATACTTGCTGTGTTTAACCTTATGAATTTACAAACCACCTGGTATCCGTTTGTTAGATCCTGGTTTGTGATTCTAGCAGTGGAGACCAGTGTTACAGAAAAACTCTGACCTCACAACCTAGAAACGCTCCCTGACCACCACCCGTCTTCCCCCTAGACCATAAAGGTGTAGAAACAAACAGAATTCTGATAGCAGTGACATGATTTTTATGTGATGGTCAATCAACAGTGATTCTGAAGCCACTTTTAACACATTCTTCTCTGATTTAAAAACCTGTTTGGAGCTTTGGAAGTTGATTTCCAGGTTTATATATTTTAAAAAATGAATCTGTTTTGAGTTTGGAAACATAATTAACTATTTCCTAGAAAAGAATTTTAAAACATGATTACTTTCCCCATCTCCACATCTCCTTGAGGCTATTAAAAAAAAATCAGATTTCAAATCATGCGCACGCAGTGAGTGGCTTTTTCTAGTTCAGCTGACGAGGTTGCACTTTGACATGCTTTTCAAGATTTGAATATTTTTATAAATCATGATTATGCTACTGTTTAATGAGAACAAAAGTGGAAACGGCATCTGCCTGTCTGCAGCGGAGCGCCTCCCGGCCTGTGTGCGCTGTCTGGGAAAGTGCTGGCCCCGTCTGGAGCGCTGATGAGTGTCTTGATTAGCTGAAATTGCTTCCTGCCGTAGTTTGGGGGTGTCAGTGTTGTGATGAACTGGGTCATCTCAGGGATTCGGGATGCAGGAGCTGCTCTGAGACTCAGAGTGGCTGGCAGTCCGGAGTCAAGTCCAAAATCCCCAGCTCTCCCCGGCGTGGCCAGCTTCCCTTCCTGTCCAGGTCGGGATCTTAGGACCATTCTTTGCTAGACTGTGAGCTTCTCCAGGGCAGGACATAAGGCTGATACCAACTGAACTGAACATGTTTGAGAGGGACTGTAGTGACTGCTGGTTGTGGGGAAAGAGGTCGTTTGGGCACAGGGGGCAGATGTAAGGTGCAGTGGAAATAGCGTAGGAGAGCTGCGGGTCCAGACCCTGAGCTCCATTGTCATTCAGCTCAGTCACTGTGTTCAGGTCGAAGAGCTTGTGTCAGCAAGAGTTTAAATGATTTGGTGTTCTTTGTTTTCTAAGTTTTAGAGCTTTGCCGCTTGTTAGCTTTCTTTCAAGATTGTGAAACTAAAAATGTTTTTGATTTTTAAACTGGTTACCATTTTTATCTGACAAACTCATTGATCCAGAACTCTTTCCCACCACCCCCAAGAAGTTCCTCTCTAAATAATGGTTTAATGTAACTCTGTACAAGGAAATGCCTAGATCTTAGGTGTATGGTTCAGTGGTACGCACTGACTGACAAATGCAGATGTCCGTGTAACCCACATCCCCAGCAAGAAAAGGAACATTTCCGTCAGAAAGTTCCAGAAATTTCTTTGAGCCCCTTCCCAGTCAGCCTCCCCACTCCAGAAGCAGCCACTGTTTTCAACATGTGTTTTCATTTGATGTTTTAAATTAAAACATCACCTGCATTTTGAAACTGAAAAGGACTCCTTCCTCCGAGGCAGGCCCGTCGCTGGCGCCTGGGCCCACGGTGTGCCCTGCTGAAGCCAGACCCAGAGGTTGCCGTGCCCCCCGGCTCAGACTTGGCAGTTGTCTGCAGTCTCTGCACAACCCACACCTGGAATCTCAGACATTCGCAATACCTGGAGAACAATGGATGGCAAGAAAATTCATTCTGTGCTTTTTCTAGGATCGCTTGCATGCAATTGTGCCCGCTGAGCAGGAAGACTCCAGATTAGAGGGAGGGAGAGAGAGAGGCCTGCTCATCGGGCTGCATAATCAGCAGCAAACATATTTCTGCCCCAACAAAGAGAACAGTGTGTTCCTGAGACGCTGCCGTGCGGCTCTGAGGCTCGCTGGTGGGCGGCTCTC